CATCCCATGCTAATTCAGAACTTTAAACAAAAATAATCCGCCCCCCTTTCTGGTACCAGGTAATCGAACTCGGGTCATTGCACTTGCAAGGTAGGCATCAGAACCACTGAGCTAAATCTCCGGCCCAACTTCCCCTTTTTATTGAGATCTTTTCGTGATAAGTATCACTGATGAAAGTTGGTGTTTTTATAATGTTTGAATAACACTTTTAAGTTGAGAGTACATTCAAGTTGCTAGGAAGGCTTATTCCTAGGAGTACATGTCCCACAGAGGAGGGAAGACTATAAGTAATCATAGTGAAATTTTAAAAAACCAAAGTATGGGCAATAAAAGGGTGGCTAAATGGGGAGAGATCAGTCACATTATCACCATCAGGAAACTTTAGTTTTTTTCTAGATAGTGGCTTCTTCTGAAAAGGTATAGGTAGCTAGTATAATCTTTTGAGTATGTTTAACATTGGGTTTTCGTGGGCATCATTACTTTTAGCAGTGTCTTCTACTGTTTGACCAATGGTGGTAGAATGTTTTCTGATTGATTGTATTTGCTTAAATACAATCTGATTGATTGATTATTTGCTTAAATAAAAACACTAGAAATAAAATCCAAATCTACTTTGTCTTGATCATCTTGATAACATACCAGCATGTTCCTCTTGTTTTTTCATTTGATGGAGTCTGAATTTTTGTGTAGAGAGAGAGGCTTAATAAAATATGTTAAGCACTGTCCTATGTGGCATCTGTCCAAACAGTGGTGATTCCACTTTTGTTGAGGTGGGTCACTATGCCATAAATGCATTCCTTGAAATATACACAGTCAGAAACACAAAGAAGCTGACCACCTTAGTGTAGCACAATCAAAATTAAATACTCCTAAGAGCAAAATTACCACTGCAGCTTTTCCTGGTCAGATAATGCTTGAGGTGAATAATGGGGGCTCTGGACCATCCAGGTGTATTAGACTGTTTTCAAAGTGACAAATGTGGATCCAGAAGTCAGTTTCCTCAAATTTGGCTGCAGATGGATTCACATGAAGTCCCTGGAAAAGATCTTTGTAGTAGGTTGTAAATAATTTATATGGAGATGTCTTTCCCATGAAGTCATCAGGTAAGATTCTGTAAGGTGGAAGGCCATACTCTACCCCTTCTTAAAAGACTGCTTTACTACGGGCACTTGAACCCGAGGGCACTGTCCCACTGAACTACATCCAGCCCCCTCTTAAGATTTCATTTTGAAACAGGGTCTCTCACTGCCTAACCCAGGCTAGCCTTCAACTTGCAGTCCTCCTGCCTCATCCTTCCAAATACTATGTGGAACAGGAGTGGTTACAGTGGACATTCTTGTTTTGTTCCTGATTGTAAAGGGAAAGCTTTCACCTTTGGCCCATTTAATATGATGTTGGTAATTGGTTTATCATAAGTGGCTTTTTAAAATGGCCTTTATCAGATTGAGATAAGGAAAGCCCATATCTGTTTTCTTTAGGGTTTTATCATGATTGCATTTCAGATTTTGTCAAGGGTGTTTTCTGTATCAGTTGAGATGATCATGTGATTTTTGTCCTGTTTTTGTGGTGTATTACATTGACTGATTTATGTATACGAAACCATCCTTGGATCCCTGGGAGGCTTTCTGCTTGGTGATGATATATGATCTTTTCATGATTATTGAATCCTGTTTGCCAGTATGTTGTTGAGAATTTTTGCATCTGTGTTCATGAAGAAGATTACCCTGTAGTTCTCTTTTGTGGTTGTGTCCTTTTGTTTTAGAATCAGGGTAGTGCTAGCTTACAAGGAATGACTTAGGGAGCACTCCTTCCCTTTTGATTTCATTAAAAAGTTTGAGGAGTACTGTTGTTAGATTTCCCCTAGAGTTCTTATAGAATTAAGGAGTGAATTCATTGGGAGCTGGACTTTTTGTTAGTTGGTTGTTTTTAAAGTTACTTTTTCAATATCATTGCCTGATGTTGGATTAGTTAGGGGTTTTATGTCTTCTTGGTTCAGCTTTGTTAGTTCATATGTATTTAGGCATCTATCCATTTCTTTTAAATTGTACATTTTATCAGAATACAGGTTCTTAAAATATTTATTAATAATCTAGATTTTGACAGTCCTTTGTGATTTTGCCTTTTTTATTTCTAATGGCACTGGTTTGTGTCTTAGTTACATTTTTGCTGTTAAGTCAATATACCCGATACTCACAATTTTAAGGAGGAGAGGTTTATTTTGGCTGTTTGTACGGTACAGGTCCATAGCTGGCTGACTCCAAAGCAGGGTGGCATGGCAGAGGGGAACAGGAAAGGAGAAACAGCCCATGGCATGGCAGACAGGAAACAGAAATCAAGGAGGGAGTTACTGTCTCAGGCACACGCCCAACAACCTACCTCCTTTAACCAGGTGTCACCTCCCAACATCACAGTTAGCTATAAACTCATCAGTGGACTAATCTGTTGATGATTACCATGCTACCATGATGAAATCACTCCCTAAAATCCCACCTACGAATGCATTAGGCTTTGCGGGGACATCTACATATAAACCATAACAATTCGGGTCTTTCCCTTGTTTGCAAGATTGGCTAGGGGTTTGTCTGTTTTGTTTATTCTTCCTATGAATAAACTTTTACTTTCATTGAGTTTATTGGTACTTTTTAGGTATACAGTAGAGTTACATTCATCATCAGGATCTTGTACGTTTACCTGATGTATCTTGGTTCTCATTTTTTCCCCATTCCCCTGCCCTCTTTCACCCCCTCCACCATTCCCTATTTACAAAGACTTTGTTTCCATTTTTTACTCTTCTCATACTTTTTTTTTTCTTTTCTTCCTTTTAAAAATTTTTTTTAGCTGGGCCTGGTGGCGCACGCCTGTAATCCCAGTACTCGGGAGGCTGCGGCAGGAGGATCGCTGTGAGTTCGAGACCAGCCTGGGCTGCATAGTGAGTTCCAGGTTAGTCTCAACTACATAGTGAGACCCCCTCAAAAAACCAAAAAACATTTTATTTTATTTTATTTTTTATTTTTGTCATACTGGGGATCGAACTCTGGCCCACGTGCTTGTGAGACAGACAGTGGAACCACTGAGCCAAATCTCCTGGCCCCTCTCATATTTATTATTTTCCCTTCTTTCCTTAACTACATAGTGAGACCATCTCAAAAAACCAAAAAACATTTTATTTTATTTTATTTTTTATTTTTGTCATACTGGGGATCGAACTCTGGCCCACGTGCTTGTGAGACAGACAGTGGAACCACTGAGCCAAATCTCCTGGCCCCTCTCATATTTATTATTTTCCCTTCTTTCCTTTCTTCTATCTTTCTGACTTTGGTTCCCTGTATTGTTTTTTAAGTCTCAATTTCCTTAATTTCTTCTCTAATCTTTATAATTTCCTTACTCATACTAGCTTTGGATTTGGGTTCATTTTTCTCGGACACTGAGTTGCATCATTAGGTTATCTGTGCTTTCTCTGTTTTGTGATGTGGTTATTCACAGCTATAAACTTTCCTCTTAGGACTGTTTCCAATGTGTCCCATATGTTCTAGTAAGTTGTATTGGCATTATAGGTTGATTCTAAGAACTATCTAATTGCTTTCTTGATTTCTTCTGTGACCCATTGATTCTTCAAGAGCTTGTGTAGTTTCCATGTGTTTGTCCATTTTTTGTGGTTTCTTTCCCATTGATTCGTAGTTTCATTGCACTGCAGTCTGATAATGTGTGTGGAATAATTTCAGTTCTTTTGCATTTAGTTAAGCATGCGCTTCATGAGCACAGCATGTGGTCTGTTTTGGACGAAGTCCTCTATGTGTTCCTGAGAAGAACATGTATTCTGTTGTTGGATGGAACACTGTAGCTGTCTGTTAAGTCTATGTTTGAAGATTTGGTTCAACTCTGGTATTTCTTTGTTGATTTTTTTTGGTCTAGTTGATCTATTTGTAACAGTGTGTATTGAGGTTCCCCCATTATAATTGTGATGTTTATCTGATTTTTTCCCAATAGTGTTTGTTTTATAAATTTAGGTGTGCTGGTTTTGGTGATATAACTGTTGAATTGTTCCTGTTAAATTTTCCCGTTAATCAATATGTAATGACCTTTTTTGCCTCTTCTGATCAGTTTTGGGTTGAAATTCACCTTATATGAAATTATAGAAAATTATCTGAAATTATCTGAAATCTGATTTTCTCCAGGTTCCCATTGCACAGAATATTGTTTTCCATCTTTCGAGTTTTAATCTGTGTTTCTTTTTGGAGTAAATGTGTTTCTTCTATACTGTGTATCATTGAGCTTTGTTTCTTGATGCATTCTCCTAATCTGTTTCTTTTGGTGGGGAATTGAGACTATTCACACAGAGTTATTACTGAAGTGCATTGACTTATTCCTATCATTGTATTATTTTCCTGTAGCTGATTCCCTTCCCCTAATTCACTGCTCACCCTGGTAGATTAATTCTGTTGGACTTTGACATCGTTAACTTCACTGTCACCTTCTAGGGTATCCTGGACAATTTTTTGGAGTGTTGGTTTGGTGGGTATGAATTTCTTAAGGTATTTTTGTTGTGGAAATACCTTATTTCTCTATCAGTTTTGAAGGAAAGTTTGTAGAAGTCTGGGTTAGAAGTTGCTAACTGTTAGGGCTTAAAACTCTTCAAGCTCTTTGTCTTAGTTTTCTTGTTGCTGAAACAAAATACCTGACACAAGTTAAGGAAGGAAAGGTTTATTTGGCTTATAGTTTGTAGGTTTCAGCACATACTTGGCTAGCTCTAAGACAGTGGCACATGGCAGAGAGGCATCACAGAGAGAAGCAGTTCACTGCAGGCAAAGATAGCAAATACAATAAGGGACTAACAGCATCTCTAGGCCCCCTTTGTCTCATCCAGACTACTTAGGGTGGGCAGCACTCACCTGTAATCATAGTGCCCTGGAGCCTAGCATTGCACCATGAATGAATTCCACACACTCTCAATCCAGCCACCTCTGAAAAACAGCTCCACCTATGACCACATGAGGCTTTCGGGGGACGTCTAGACACAAGCCATAACATTCTCCTAGCCTTTAGCATTTGTGCTGAGACAGTCGCTGTAATTCTAATACACTTGTGATTCACTGCCTTTCTCTACAGCTTTTAAGATTTTGCATGTGTGTTGGACTTCTGGGGTTTTGAGTATGTTGTGATGTGCTGAGGTTCTTGATTGTGGCTACTTGGTGTTCTGTATGCCTCATTTTATGTATGTTTCTCATTTGGAAGATTTTCTGTTACCATTTCTGTAAAAACAAAGTAACCCTGCACTGTTTTTGCAGTTCACAAAGAGTATGGGCTCTGGTGCCATTTCTCCCTGTATCTCTAACTCCAGACACTTACCTTGCTTTGGGGGAGCCAGGTTCCCCTCACCCTGAGTTGCAAGGGCTGGAGAGTGTCCAAATAGTTTCTTCCTTGTGTTTGCGTTGTGGTCCATCTTTCTGACAACTGCTCTATAGCTTCTAATTTTTCCCGTCAATTCTTTCCTGATCTTGGTGATCTGCTTTTCTTTTTTCCTTTGACAAGTTATTTTTCAGGTCTGGATTTCAGATCTTGGAGAAGCTAAATTTTGCTTCAGACCACCACTCTGCCATTTTCTTTTTCTCTCATTTCTGTTTCTGGCTACGCGCCTTGGTGGGTGGTCCCCCAACACTTTTCAGTAAATCCATTCAGCCACACTCAGAACGATGCTAATTCCAATCAGTGGAATAATCCCAGCATCACATACTCTAGAGCCAGCCAGCTCTGTAAACCCCCCATGTACGAATGCATGAGACTTTCAGAAGACATCTAGATACAAGCCATAACACACATGTACATATACATACATACATACATAAAAATATAGACACAAAGATCCTATAGCTTTCATTTAGGTTCTCCTTACACAGAGTTTCAAAATGGCCAACTATAATGCCAGAAAGTTGTACTTTTTGTGATCATGGTATCTCCCCTGCCAGGTATTACTTGCACTTTTTGGAGACTATTTATTTGAAATTGGCTGGTTTTCCTAGATTACTGACTTGAGCGCACAGACCTTACCAGATAGGGAAAATAAAGCAATTTCTATGTGTGTTTGACCTGAGGACTTAACCTTTACAAATAAATACTTTATGTAGCTTTCTTTAGGTTTTCAAGTCCTGGAGTGAAAGGGAGAGTTGGATGTGGCTTAAAGGAGAGAACATTAGTATTGGGGAAAGATTCTTTAGAGCTTTCTAAATATTTCTTTTCTTGTTTTAATTGTGAACTTTCGCCATTTTACAGTTTCTCAGGGAAGCAAGTTTAGTCTGTAAATCTATTAGCATTAGTGTACTAGCCAAAGTAAGATATCTAATTGTTTGGGAGATTTGATTTCTAATTTGGGTTGCAAGGAACAGTGTTTGCAGATTGCTAAGACATATTATCGTAGGGCTAATACGTTCAGTAAGATGTGTACAGCTCAGCTCCATGTATTTCTGACCTGGTCCCAGTTGACATTCCTGAAATGGCCGGAGCTTTAGAGTTTGACTTGACATAACTTTTAAGAGTTGCTCAGTAACCAAGGCCAGGAGATGAAAGTTTAGGGCTTGAAGAGTGCTGCTTGTGAGTCCCACTCTACAGAACGTCACCAGTGGCTCACGGGCTATCCTCTTAAAGGTCTTGCAGGCCCCTAAACATCACATGATGTCAGAAAAGTTCTGGAAGCCCCACAAGATGGCTACATCATATGGACGATGCCCTATTACTTGTGTTTTCCAGATGCCTGGAATCTCCCTCAGATGGCTAGAAGAAGCAATTTGTCATAATTCACTCTTGTTTAATATTGCTAACCACGGTTTAAACCAGAGCAGCCAAGACCCAAACTGTAATTAAATCAAATAGCCATAAGATGTCGCTCTGAGCTCAAAGTATTTTATACAAAATCCTCAGCAGGCATCCCCTCAACTCAGTAGTTTCCAGACTGGCAATTCTGCCACAGGGGTCTAGAGACAGCCACAGTGAATGATCCAACACAGAGTGAGCCAGTAAAGTGTGAGTGTAACTGTCACAAGGTGTGGGTTTTAATTCCAGGCTTCCGAGGGGGCCAGCAGCGGGCAATTAACCTGGTTTGAATCTCAAAGGCCTGCTACTGTGGCGTGGTCCTCAGCCCTGAGAGAATCATATCCTTTTCTCCTCTGAAAACTCGGTACTGCTGCTGCCATCCAATATTAAACCAAAACTCCTGAGACTAAGGGTTTTTTTAGAAGAAACGAGTTTACTGATCGCTTATAGATGCTAGCCAGAAAAAGGACCAGGGCTTGGGACAAGTTTCCACAACTACCAACAAGGCAGATTGGAAAACAATCACCAGACCTAGCGCTAAGGCTTTTATAACAGATCCCTGGGGAAGGAAAGGATAAGTGAAACCCACACTGGCTACAAATGGGAGGGACAGTATAACGCAGAATAGCGAAAGGCCGGGATAATAGGGCACTTTGTACAGAGAAGTAACTGTTGTTTCTGGATTGGCTGGGGTTAAGTTTATACTTATACAGGGTATGGTGGGCCTGGTGGTTGGAAATGATGGTATATGAGTCAATGTTTCAACCTCTTTCCAGAAATGTGAAGTATTTTCTGGGGTTTTACCTGCAAGCTATTAATAGACTGATCTCTTTTAACCTTTTCCTCTGTCTCTATCCCCTGTAATTAAATTTAGGACATCTCAGAATTTTTCTTTTGTCAACCATAATAATATAAAAGCTGCAGTGTGACTAGTGATAGGAATTTTCTATCTCCATTTTAATTTTGTGGGCCCACTGTTATCTATGTTAGCTGTCACTGACTGGAATGTTATGTGGTACATTACTGTAAGTATAAAAATAAAGAATATTCAGGTTGAAATAAGGATTTATCTAAAGCTTTCCTATTAGTATCTTAAATGTGAATATGTACCACATTAGTTGAAACAAAAGTTCAGTGTACAGTTTCAATCAGGAAGCTTTTGGTCAAGGAAAAAAGACCATTAATGCATGGTACAAAATCTTTAATATACATGCAACAAGTATAGAACATCAAGGCAACAAAATGCATGTGGGAATATCAACATATTTTCAGCATTCTTTGGGGGGGGTGTAAAAATAAACACTATCGTCTAAAATTAAGAATTGAGACATATTATTTCCTCATGCAAACATTTACAGACTATCTGTAGTGTGAAATGAACTGTGTAGAAATCTGAAATTCACAACATGAATTTTATATTGGGATCTCTAAGAAAAGAGGAAAGGTTGCTATACTTGGATGTCATGTATAAATCTGCATTTAGCAGCAAATTAAGATGCACAAATTACTATTCCCGTTAGATAAATCTGAAAAAACTACCAATCAGTGATCTCGAACTTCCTTATACATTATAAAAATGTATGGAAACATTTAATAATTTTGTTTAGTTACTAATGGACAAAGATAACAGCTGAGCATGGATCATGGAAGAGAAATCGTTTAAACATAAGGATACTTTTTAGGAAAGCAGCAATAGTGTTCGAGGACAGCCTAAAATTCCCCAAGTTCCCTCTCCTTATCTACTGACTAATCCTGCCCTCCCAGAGTTTCTACCATCTTCATTTTATACCTTCTTCCATCCCCATGCAGATTAAAAACTGCTGTGGAACCTCATTCTTGATAAGGTATACAGAATTGATAATAGATTAAAGGTACCACTTTTCAGGAACGTTTATATTTTTATTAGCGTTAAAGCCTTAAGCTAAAAGAGTGACGCCCTGAGAATGCTCTTGCACATCTAATGTATCTCAGGAGCTTCCAGCCCTCCTTCGTCCCTGAAACGACACTTTCTGGACGGCCTCACATTTGAGGCTGGCCTTGGATGTTATATTCCCTAGTATGAGACTAAGCTGTAAGTACTGCGGAGAACTGTCACACTCTTACATTTCTAAAACAAAGAATGAATGTGGCAAATTCAGCTCCTATAAAAAAATGGTTTTAGGAGGAACATTCTTCTCATATGTCAAAGCTACTATATCTGAATGCAGTGTTTTAGTAACAAACAAAAACACCATAGGAAGTCCCCAATAAGTACTGTGGCCTCATCATATAAACAACATATAAAATTTCTTTGGCACAACTAACCATTTTTTCTTCATATTACTTACTATAGAAAATATACTTCATTTATTTTCATTTTACATATGGTAGAATTTTTAGGGATAAATGTAACTTTCAAAAATTGCAAAAAGATTTACAATATGGATTATTAAAAAAACTACCTGCAGAAATGTAGGAATTTTTTAAAACATTAACATCAGTTTTAAAATGACATCATGGCATAATGAGAGAGGCTGTAAAACATACATGTTATGATTCATTGCTGTTGCACACCAGGGAGGAAAAAAACAGCACTGTTTATCAGACAGATATTTATTGGTAAGTATAGTGATTACCCTAGACATGTTTGTTCAAAAACTTCCCAAATTCTTCATTGAACTTGATATCTTTCTGGTGTAACCCCTTTCCAACATTTATTATTCTACATTTGGAAATGTTGCCACCTTTTCAGGCATACCTGATCATATCTTAAAATTGATAATCTTTAAAGAAAAACTTGAGAGAATAAAGACATGTCTACAAAATACTTTCCCTATCACCTTTACAAATGAGTTAGTAACTGCCTAAAAAGGCATATTCCTACAAAATTTATAAAGTGTTACGTGGACTGTTAGGATGGTACCAAATGACAAGAGCTAAAGAAAAACTGATTGTCTGAAAGTCAAGCTTAGCATGACTTGCCTAGCATGCACAAGGCTGTGGGCTCAAGGAAAGCTGAAACTATCATTATGAAATAGCAACAAAGACCCTTTCCTGATATGAAAATATGGTATTTAAACATTAGAAATTAGGGAGAAATCAAAATAAAATTAATTGCCTTCTTTTGGAAAATTTAATCATCAAATAAAGGCGAGAAAATCAGAAGCTTAAGTCTCGAATAACATAAAAATCAGCTGAATAATAATTATGCACAATTTGCAATGAATTTTTTATTTGGAGAATAAAAGTATTTAAAAGCCTATTCAATTAAAAACCTCAATGACAAATACGAGTTTTTAAAAATGAAAAATGGCAAGACTATTGTGTTCTTTCCTTACGAGTTTACATGGAGTACCAAATTCTCAAAGCAATAGAATTTCAATCGCTTCTCCACCTTTTGGCTAAGATCAAGTGTAGCAATAGATTTCCAGACATAGACCAGAACAATACTATATAAAATTTCAAAGGTCTCACCTGCAGTCAAACTTATGTAGACAGAACATTTACAATACAGAAACTTCTGGCTTTTCCATAAAGTTTTTCAGGATGGGGTTAGGCCTGGACTTGTCATCTCTGCTGTAGGACTTGGAAGGTAGTCATTTGATTTTAGGCTCGTTAAAGATTTGTAACTTGCCACTGATGTTAGAGACCCACAGAGACCAAGTAATGAAGGGGTGTCTTCTTTACCTGAAGAGGATAAAATAACAATAGCCTTTAAGGGTCATACCAATAAGACCATAAAACCATAACTTACAGAATACTGAAAATATATCTTAGCTACAGAAAGTCAAAGATCTATGTCTAAACATGTTCGAGCTTTCAGTGGGCTCAACATCACCCTTAAAAATATTATACAAGATTACTTTTGCCTTCATGAAAGTTCTAGAGGTCAAACTTTAAAGTTAAAATGCTGTAGATCCAAATTAAGTCCACCTGTTTGTGGAGAACGTGTTTGTGTTCAGTTGGTTAGTAAAGGGTAACACAGATCCAAGCTAAGTAACTGTAACAGCCATCAGGGCAGAGAAACAGCAGGAAATCCATACTAGGGAGCAGATGGATCTGGTCAGACTGAACTTCCTAACAAGAGGAAGGCCTTGTTTTAGGAGACTATTCATAAGTTGACTTTACTCAGTATTTGTTATGCATCAGGAACTTTTGGAACTTTAAGCGCTAGACTTCAGTAGAACTCTGAAGAAGAAATAGTAGAAGGGCTGTTTCTATGTTTATTATTATACTCCCAATGCCTAGCAAATAGTAGGTGCTTATTAAATAACTAATGAAAGATGATTCACTGGAATTTTACTAGGACTCAGTCTACTACCTTTGTCCTTTGTAGCTGTGTGACCTCAGTCAAGGCATCAGCTCTGAGCTCTCCAATTAAAATGGCAGCACTCACAAAAAGATGATTGGCTATGCTAATTACAGAGCTTTGCTGGTGAGTGAAACACAGGAAATTTAACAATGATAGGAAAAGGCACGGATGAGTAGTTAGTACATTCATTTTTAAAATGTTCACCATGTACAGTATTAGAACAAAAGGTGTAATAATCTAAGTATTGCCTTCATGTTTAAGCCTAGAGACTCAGTTCAGGCCAAAATTAGCTCTGTTGCTAAACACGCCAGGAATCAATTTGGATCATGTCCTCAAATCTGTACTTCATTAAGTAAGTTCCTTTAAAAGAGACTTATGGCTAGTTAAATATACATACTTATAGAACTGTTTTCTTTATTGTGACACACACACACACACACCCACGCACCCTATACTTTAGTATTTTAACCATTTTATGTGTACAATTCAGTGCCATTAATCACATCCATATTATTGTGCAACCTTAACCATATCTGAAATTTTTTATCACCTTAAAAATTTTTCATCAAAATATTGTTTTATTCCTGGAGAGCCTTCATGTCTGCTATAGGGTTAAAGCTTTCTGCACTGTTGTATAATTAGTGCCATTGTGTCTGTGACCCTTGAGAAACAGAAGAGACAATTCACAATTACCACCTAGGTTCCCCTTTCACAGATAGCAGTTTACGCAAAACGCAAACCAACCCAATGTGTCTGTCCTCATGTTCACCACAGAAGAGCACACAGGACAGATCTGCCCAGTCTAACATTCCTGTTAATTCACAGTGGGACCTGCCCATTAAATTGGCCTCAGAAAATAATTTTTGATTGAAATTCAACGTTTTGAATTCCTGCCTAAAGGGATATGGCAAAGGGGCAGACACTTCTCCTCTTTGCAACAGACGCCCGGTTATGGACAAAGCCTCTGGATTTGTCCCTCCAAGGAAGTGAAGAAGCCCAAATTTTCTGGGACATTTGAGTATAAAAACGAAATGTCTTTTTTTTCCCCCAGTAATGCAGATCAAACTCAGGACCTTGCCCTTCAAAAGCAGGTACAGTGTTACTGAGCTAAATCCCCAACCCACTTTTTTTTTTTTTAAAGAAATCTCTTGAGTGGTGAAACTAGAGACTTTCTTTCTTTCTTTTTTATTTTATTATTATTATTTTTTTTTGAGATAGAGTATCACTGTGTAGCACAAGCTGGCCTTGAACTCAAAATCCTCCTACCTCATCCTCCTTATGGGTGTGTGCTACCTACCACACCCAGCTAATATTTTTTTCATTATTATTATTTAGTCTGGAAAACAAGCTAAAACTCATGGTAACAACATTTAAAACTCATTTTCATTTGGTAAGTATCCACTATAAACTGGGCATGGTGGTTCACGCCTATAATCCCACCACTCAAGGAGGCTGACAAGAGAGAGGACTGAAAGTTTGAGCCCATGTGGACAACTGAGTGGCTTAGTGAGACCCCGACTCAAAAAATCTTAGAAAAGGACTGAAGTTATGAATGGAACACGCCTATAATCCCAGCACACACTCACTCTCTCTCTCTCTCTCTCTCTCTTTTCCTGATACTGGGGATCAAACTCAGGACCTTGCACTTGCAAGGCAGGTGCAGTGCCACTGAGCTAAATCCCCAGCACTATAATAGCATCTCAAAGATTAATATAGCTAGGAACAGTGGACTGGGTAAGGTAAAGAAGACAGTGTATTAGCATCCAGGACAGTGGGGGCTGGTACAGACAGACAGACAATGGAGACAGAACTGAGAATGGTCAACGGATTTCAACCAGGGCTCCAAGACCATTCATAGGGGAAAGAATAGTTTTTTATTTTGAACAAATGATGTAGGGACAACTGGAGAGCCAGATGCAAAAGAATGAAGTTAAGGGCCAGGGACTTAGCTCAGTGGTTCCGCTGCCTGCCTTGCAAGTGCAAGGACCTGAGTTTAATCCCAGGTACCAAAAAAAAAAAAAGAATGAATTGAACTATCTGCCCATACCACATACCATATAATTGATCAAATAACTAAGTGAGAAATCCAGAACCCAAAACTCTTAGAAGGAAACAAAGGTATAGATCTGTGTAACTCTTGGATTAGGCATCAGTTTCTTAGACATGACATCAAAAACCTAAGCAAGCACAAGAAAAACTAAATAAATAGACCTTCATTAAAATTAAAAACTAATCCAAGCACTGAGGGAGGCTGAAGCAAGAGGATCATAAGTTTAAAACCACCTGGGCAATTTATTGAGAATTTGTCTCAAATTTAAAAAGGAGCTGGGGATGTGCAGCATCCCTGACTTAATCCCCTATACCCACCAATCAAGCAACCAGTCAATCAATAAATAACTCTTTAATAAAAAAGACAAAGTAGTGTGATTTAAAAATGGTTGGTTTAGAACAAATGTTTCTCCAAAGATGACGTGTGAATGGCCAAGAAACACATGAAAAGATGCTAAAAAAAATCATTAATTAGGGAAATGCAAATTAAAATACAATGAGATACCGCTCACACTCTTCAGATGGCTATAACTAAAAAGACAAACAGTACCTAACAATAAGTGTTAATAATGCGGAGAAGCAGAAACTGTTGCATGCTGGCGGTGGGATTATAAAATGGTGTAGTCACTATACACTACACTACAACAGGTTTGGCAGCTTCTCAAATGGTCGCACATGTGATCAAGTCAGTTCCACCCTGGGCTGATATTCAAGAAAAACAAAGATACATATTCGCCACAAGCTTATATATTCATAGTAGCCCTATAGTAGACCTAGCATTATTCATAATAGCCCCAACGTAAAACAATCTCAATATCCAACTAATAAATATGAAAAGTATGGTATACTCATACAATGTAATGTTTTTTGGCCATAAAAAGGAGTGAAAAATTAACATAAGTTAAAAATGGATCAACCTTGAAAACATATGAAGTCAAAGAAGCCACACATTTTTAAAAAGCTACCTATTGTGTGATTATTATATGAAAAGCCAAGAAGGAGCAAATCCAGAGACAGAGAAAGCAAGGTGTGGGCTGAGGGGTAACCGGGCCTGAGTATGAACAGGTATGAGGCTTCTTCTTGGTGATGACAATGTTTGGAAGTGAGGCAGTGGCCATAGTTGTACAAATTGTTGATCTAGTCACCACTGATTTGTACACTTTAGAATGGTGAATTTTAAATTATGTGAATTAATTAATGTCTTTTGAGACAGAGTCTCTCTTTGTAGTCCAGACTGGTCTTGCTGGGCATGGTGGCACACGCCTGTAATCCCAGCACTCGGGAGGCTGTGGCAGGAGGATCACTGTGAGTTCGAGACCAGCCTGGGCTACATAGTGAGTTCCAAGTCAGTCTTGACTACATAGTGAGACCCTGTCTCAAAAAACCAAAATAACCAAAACCAGACTGGTCTTGAACTCACAATGTAGCCTAGGCTGGCCTCAAACTCAGCAATCTTCCTGCCTCAGCCTCTTGAATGCTGGGATTATAGGTGTGTGCTACCACACCCAGCATGTAAATTATACTTAAATAGTCTTTAAATTCAAAAATTCTAAGATATGGAAATACTGTACATCAAAGTTTATTTGCTGGCGTTTTGTTTCTCTTTTCTTTCAGTGATATACTATATTTTTAAATGTATTTAAAACCCAGGGAATCTTAGATTTGATGGTCTACAGTAACACAATACCTGATACATACAAGGGGCTTAATAAATATTTCTTGAAAAAATGGTAATTCCTCACCCTTTTCCAGCAATGATTATAGTGCATTTTAACTTTTGAAATGTTCTTTTGTTTAAATAATTAGTAGAAAGAGTTGACTTTTATGTCTTTTTACTATGATATTTATTGAAATAACCTCAAGAAATACAAGTTACAGGACAACAGAAAAACATTTTAAAATCCCAGTAGGGGCTAGAAGTGTAGCTCAGTGGAAGAGCGCTCACCCCCTGACATGCAAAAAGCCCTAGGTTCAATCCCCAGCAGTGCAATATATGAAACAAAAGCCCTGATTTTCTGTTCATTTAAAAATTTAGAATATATAAGTGCTACTTAAAAATCATAAATAGTATATTTTCACCTTTAAGATTTTTTCAGATGCAGATATTTACTGAGATGTTAATATGCATCAAGTATATAAAAGTAATCATTTAGAGTTCCACCGCCAAAGTTAGCCCTTTAGACATCTTACATCGTTCACTTCTACTTTTGTTTCTTTTAAAGAAAATCCATAATGCTTGTAAAAGGTATGTTCCTTCTAAATAATTTAATCAATAAAGTACATAAGGAATGTTAAATATATCATCTAGCATACATTCAGGAAGAAA